CTTCCTCGGTCCTCGGTGTGCGTTGGCGGAGGTGCTCCCGCGGCGGGCGAGAGTCAGGACGTTGGCTAGTGGCCTCGGTCTTTTCCCCCGCTGGTTCTGTTTTACGGTAAATTGCTGGGAGTTTGGGAGACAGACTTTTCTACGTCTTGGATAGCTTTTGGGTTTTCTCCCGGGAAAGAAGTGGAAGAAGAATCTTTTCTTTCCCCCTTCTCCTCCATTTGCATTCTTTGTGAGGTCTGCCTGCCTTGTGCTTTTTGTCCTGGATTAGACTTGTTCAGGGATGGAGGTTCCCAGGCATGGAGGCCATAGCTTTTTGGCTTCCATTAAGCACTTTCGCTAACCTGTTAAAGGAAAGTTAATTTTTGCCTACAATCATTCCAGGAAAATAGCATACACTGACAAGGTGAATTAATGTATTTAAGATTGTAACTTCGTTTCATGTGGCAGATATGTTAACTTGTATCCGATTTTTTTGGATGAAACTGGGTATTTCGTTTTCTTTTTCTTTTTTTTAAACAATGAGATGAAGTAATGGATTATTTTAGTTAAAATGGCATAATTGTGAAGCCTCTGGTACTGAGTATTGGGTGAGATGATCTGTTTAAGGTTCTTCCTATTCGGAGTTGGAGTAGCCCTCTCCCCTTTGAGGGGTGATATTTCCCTTTACCTGTTCTCCAGATTGCTGTCCTATTTAAATGAAGGTTCTTCTAGTTAAATGGTGTTAACAGTTATAGAAGTCACTCGGGTGTCACCTTTGGTAAAGTGAACTCAGCTTAAGATTAAGAAACTGGTTTCAAACTGACCCTTTGGCCTCTGGAGCAAATTCAAATGTAACTCTCTCCCATCCCCCTTCTCTTCCAGATTAATTAAAAGAAGAATGAATAGCAGTCCTTGAAGATAACTGGGCAATTTTTTAAAAATCATCTTTTATTGTAGACGTTCAAGTGGAGTCAGAGGCTCTTCTTACTGGTGTGAGGATTTATACAAGTCTTCAGTTTGTCAGCATAGACTAACATCATCATTTTTAGAGAAGACATTCCCCCCCCCCTTTTTTGGTGTCTTGGTGCCAAAAATTAAATTTGGGGGCATCATTTTGACTTGTGTTTGTGTCTAGATTTTATAACACAAGTAATTTAATAAAATTTTGACTTGTTTTGCTTAAAACCAACCAAACCATTGCATTGAACCTGGAAATCTTGAATTGAGAGAATTGGCATCTTTATTTTAATACATATATCTGAAGACTTAAAAAAAAAAGCAAAGGCTTTTTCAGAGGTGTGCCTCTTAAAATTCTTTATTATTGGAGACAAATTTTATAGCACTTGCAGCGAAATTATGCTAGAGTATTAGCAGAATCAAAACAGTTGCAAAATCTATTGAGTAACTTGGGGAGACCTCTCTTTGGAAGCTTCATTTTTCTATGAGTTACCAATAGAAATTTTTTGTAACGTACCATATGTGAGTTACCATACGTATTGGTATACATTTTCTCCAAATAAGCAGCTAAACAACAATGCAAGTGTCAGACTGACTTATTTAATACAGTAGTTTTTAGCAATGGAAAACCTACAGACAAATTTCTCCTTGGTTCAGGGCTCAAATAAAACAATGAATGGGATGGATGATGATGGCAGCCCTCCAGTGAAAAAAATGATGACGGACATTCATGCAAATGGAAAAATGATGATCAACAAGATGCCAACAGTTAAGAAGGAACACTTGGATGACTATGAAGCACCCATGGAAACGGATGGAGAGCATGTCAAACGAACCTGTACCTCGGTGCCTGAACCTTTACATTTAAATCCCAGTTTGAAACACACTTTGGCACAATTCCATTTAAGTAGTCAGAGCTCTCTGGGTGGACCGGCAGCATTTTCCGCGCGGTATTCCCAAGAAAGCATGTCACCCACTGTATTTCTGCCTCTTCCGTCTCCTCAGGTTCTTCCTGGCCCACTGCTCATCCCTTCCGATAGCTCCACAGAACTCACCCAGACTATGTTGGAAGGGGAGTCTATTTCTTGTTTTCAGGTTGGAGGAGAAAAGAGACTCTGTTTGCCCCAAGTCTTAAATTCTGTTCTCCGAGAATTTTCACTTCAGCAAATAAATACAGTGTGTGACGAATTGTACATCTACTGTTCAAGATGTACTTCAGACCAACTTCATATCTTAAAGGTCCTGGGAATACTTCCATTCAATGCCCCCTCCTGCGGGCTGATTACATTAACGGACGCACAGAGACTATGTAACGCTTTATTGCGACCCCGCACTTTTCCTCAAAATGGTAGCATACTTCCTGCTAAAAACTCATTGGCTCAGTTAAAGGAAACGGGCAGTGCCTTTGAAGTGGAACATGAATGCTTGGGCAAATGTCAGGGTCTATTTGCACCCCAGTTTTATGTCCAGCCTGATGCTCCCTGTATTCAGTGTCTGGAGTGCTGTGGAATGTTTGCACCCCAGACATTTGTGATGCATTCTCACAGGTCACCTGACAAAAGGACTTGCCACTGGGGCTTTGAATCGGCCAAATGGCATTGCTATCTTCATGTGAACCCAAAATACTTAGGGACACCTGAAGAAAAGAAACTGAAGATAGTTTTAGAAGAAATGAAGGAGAAGTTTAGCATGAGAAATGGAAAGAGAACACAATCGAAGGCAAGTTTTTTTTTTTTTAAATAGTTTTGAATAGCAATAATGGTTTACTTTGAGATCAAAAGTTTATATTTAAATATGTGTGTTAAGGAACTGTTTATGCTCATGCAACAACAAAAAATCCTGATGTATGTAATATGTTTGTATCACATATTTTAGGCTATAAAATGCTTTTCTGTGTGTGTTTTCACTTGCATTTCCAAACAACCTAGTGAGAGGAGTAAGATGATTCCCATTGTACAGGTAGAGACTGAGGCTCAGAGATCAAGTGGCTTTCCCAAGATTATATAGCCAGGGAGTGGAGGATTTGGGGCTTTTTTCCTCCAGTCCTGACTTCTCTCTTTCACACATCCTGCTTTTTGATGACTAAATCTGTTGTTTTCCTAGGATTCAAGATAATTTACACTTTGGTGTTATCTCCATTTGCAAATGGTGTAATAGCTAGTCAAAACAGTTCTGGTGATGGGCTTGAAACAGCCTTTTTCTAAGGAACATCTAGGATTTCTGACATTGTTAATATACTTGGATATTTAAGCTTGATCATAATTGGAAACAAATGGAAGTGAAAGATTTGTCTGAAGAATTTGTGACTCTAGTAACCAAGATTCTTTTATGAAGAAAGGAATAATTAAAAAAAATTGTGACAACTAGAATAAATAAAAGACTTAAGAGTAAATGTTAACATGAAAACCTATCAGCAAAGAGAGCTTAAACTTATTTTTCCCACTGCATTATCTGGTAGGCTAAACTAATATATTCTAAGAGTTTGAATGCCTGGGTAATAGACAAGATTTGGGTTATTAAATACTCTGTTGGTCTGGTTTTAAATATATTTTTCTGCTTGATTAAAATCAATGTAATAGCTAATACTAGGTGTTTAAGATGGCAGGCATTGTTCCTGAGCAGTTTTACATGTGTAATTTTAAGGTTGGCCATGTTTCACTTTAAGAATCTAGTTTTTCCACTGTTTTTACTCCTTGAAACAATCTCTGCCCTTTCTACTTCACAGAAGAAATGAATGAAGCATATTAAATGCCAAGGTTATTCACAGCAACATGAGAACTTGGGCTAGAATATAAGATTTGGTGTCTGGTGCTTTATTATGGTGCAATTAAGGTTTTGAGGGAAATTTAATTGCAGTGTACTTTGAAGACAGTGATTTGCTCCTGAAGACCCATGAAGAGAATTTTAAACTCTTAATTCAAGTTTGCTACTTGCTGCTTTCAAAGGGTCAGCACGCCTTCAAAATTCCTTGCCTGATGCTACAAGACAAGTTCATTTAAAAAAATGTATTTATTGATTTTAGAGACCGAGGAAGAGAGAGAGGAAGAGAGGTTGGTTGAGACATTGATTTGTTGTTCCAGTTAGTCATTGGTTGATTCTGGTATCTTACCTGGCAGGAGGATTGAACCCAGATTCTTGGCATATGGGACAACGCTCTAACCAACTGAGCTCCCTGGCCAGGGTAGATACATTCATATTGTTCAGGTGCAGTTATAACTTACTTTGAAGCAGGATTGAATTCAAGCCAGTTCTCAAATCGTTGGACTTGTTTACAGCTGCACTGCTCCCATGATAAGGCTGCTGCTTAGATAGTCTCTATATTCTCAAAATGTGGATTGCTCCTTTTGGTATTTATGATGTCTTGCTATTTAGGGGCTCTACCGTTACAGTCATAAGGTAGTGACATTATTTGCCAGATACTCTTGCTCCAATTTTTGTTGCTCTGACAGCATTTTTGGGATAAACTACTTTGCCTAATATTCCTGCTCTGTGTTTGTGAGAAAAATACCTGAGAACCATGATGAATGTTAAAAAAAACACGCCACACGATGAATTTACTTAACTGAAACTGAATGTGCTAGTGCTAGGGTTTGGTTAAAACTGAAATCATCCCTCATTTGGATGTAGCCTTTTATTGTCTCAGAAGTTAACAATTTGAATTCATTTTTTATTTTTGGAAGATGTGAGATTTTTTTGCTGTTATTATTTTTGCAGTATTTCCTACTAGTGTATTTGGCATTGTTTCTAAGCTTATATGAATTTTAAGCTACTTAAGGGAATTTAAAATTCCAGCATTATTATAAAGCTTTTTAAAAAAGGAGCGTTATGGGGGGTTCGTGTGTAATACATACTTGAGTGGTTGTTTCGTTGTGCTTGCCACTTTGTATTTTAAATATTTATTCCTTAAAACTTTGTGAGGTGGTTCTTTTTGAAGGTCTGGTGAACAAGTTTTCTCAGATGAACCAGTCCCAGATGGGTCACATGCTCTTGGTTGTATAACTGGTAGATGGTGGAATCGAGTTGAATGCAGGTCTTCTGACTTGAAGTCTAGTAATTTTAACTTTCCCCCCTAATTTAATAGCAGAAACTGAATTTTGAGAAACATTAACTTAAAAAAATAATTTAGTTTTGTATAATGGTTCTTAAACTCTGTATTAACTTGTATATACTCAGCTGTTTAACTGGGAAGGGGGCAAGGAGAGAGTCCTTGACTGGGGAACATTTTTCACTGTCTTCTGTGACAGTGAGCTGGTTGCCAAACAAACCAAATTAGATCTAGAAGAAGCTCATTTAAAAAAGTTGGCAGGCTTTTCTTTTTTTCTTTTTTAAATAAAAGAATATACCAAATATATTAACCTTATATAAAGCACTCTATGTTTAGTGTGAATACCAGTGTAATTTTGTATGTTTATGTAATTTATGTAGTTTTTTGTAGTCAAAGTACTGTTTTTGGATTAAAAATACCCCTGAAACTCATTAGGCAAGTTTTTGAAATGTAGCGACTGTTAAATTATTTCTAAGGATGGAAATTATATTAGTAATGATCACCAAGCTATTTGCATAGCTAATAGCTATGTTTAATTTGCATAGCTAATAGCTATATTTAGATGGGAGAAGTAAGTGGTATAAGGTCAGTGTTCTAAGTGAAGAACTGACTATATTCTATGTGGAAACTAAAGCTATATTTTAAACTTTCTTACTTAAGTCACCACTACAAGAAATATACTTGATTTTAGATCTGCCTAGGTTGCTTTGCAAAATGGCATTATAAAACTATCTCTTTTTATCATTTGACTTTTTTGTACTTTTTTGTTAGAAAAGTATTTAAAAGTGAACAAATATATACAAGAATATTATATTCCTGATTTTTCTTTAAATCCTCAGTAGGTATTATTTATTTGATCTAATTCTAATTTTGTTGAATCTTACATTTTTCTCTATGGGAAAAGGTTGTTAAGCAAATTGATAATTTGTAAATAATATTTGAAGGGTGATATTTACTTCAGATTATTTTCAAGCATATTAGAAAAGCCCATTTGTAGTCAGTTGATGGATAATTATAGGTGATTCTTTACTGCTACAGTATGTAGCTGACAATTGGTAGATAATTATAGGTGATTCTTGACTGTTACAGCACATAGATGACAATCTTCACTAAGTTATAGATGGTGTATGGTCTGTAAGTATATTTATTTATATTTATTTTTAAAAAATATGTTTTTATTGATTTCAGAGAGGATGGGAGAGGGAGAGAGATAGAAACATCAATGGTGAGAGAGAATCATTGATCTGCTGCCTCCTGCATGCTCCCTACTGGGAATCAAGCCTGCAACCCAGGCATGTGCCATGACTGGGAATCGAATTCTGACCTGCTGGTTCATAGGTCAGTGCTTAACCACTGAACTACACCGGCCGGGCAGTAAATATATTTTTAAATTAAAATTTAGATTTCTAGTGTCTAAACATGTATTAGGTAACTGAAATAATACAGTTTTTACTCTGCTTAGGAAAAGAAAAAAACTATAAGTTATCTGTGATGCAAATAGATGACCTAAAGATACCAACTTAAAAAACTTAAAAAAATTTTTTCTCTTAAAGCTTATTAAATATTTCACTATTTTTAATTTTACATTTTTCAGTTCATTCTGCAGAGGTGATTGGAGTAATAATAATTGTACAGAAAATTTCTCCCCTCTGGTAAGCTACTATACTTTTGTTTAGGAAGAAAATACACTTCCTTATTTAAGAAGTAAGGAAATACACTACAGAGAATGAGCAACGATAAAGGGTAGTGTTGGGACAAAATGTGTTGTGGTAGATTTGATGATATTTTGTTTTATTAGTGGTATTGTTTGCATTTTGTTATTAGCATAAATTTTGATAAAGTTGGGGATAAGTCAGAATCTTATGAAGTATTTGTGCTCATATGAGAGACCAATGTGAATATTTTTGTTTAACTTTCTAAAATTAATAATTATCTTCTTGACTTTAGTGGCTATCTTTTTCCTGTTTTCCCAGAATATAGTTTAGCGCATGGCACATCAGAGGCACTCAGTGAAAAAAAAATTTTTTTTTTAACTGAATACATTTTTGAAAAACACCACCACCACAGTTTATTTGAGAATGTTTGGAATTTTCTGGAAAAATGATGTTTTAATCTTCAATGAACACATATATAATTTGAGAATAAACTGTTGAATAACTGATCAAATGAGAGAACTGATGAGAAGTATTTTGGATGTTAAGAGTCCAGAAATGTAGGATGGTTCAAACTATTATTGAACTATTTACTACTGTGTATTTGGGGGTTTTTCCTTTCCCAAAACATCTTGACTTAATTTAGAGCTATATGAAGATTATTTCTAAGACATATGATAACTGAGTATTGGGTTCAAATGTATCTCCTCTTAGTTGTTTGTACACAGTAATTACACTAGTTGGATATTTGTTTACTTATTAGAATAAAATGTGCGAGAAGAAAGTGTAAAACAGTTTATGAGAGAATTATGTTATAGGAAGAATGTTTCAATGAAATCTCTAGAATGGCTTTGGGAATAGTGCCCCCTTATGGTCTGGGAAATACAGAGTCCAGGTTTATATTCATTTACCATTAAAAAATGGTAAAACATTAAAAAATGTTGATGTTTTAAAAAAGGTCTATGACTAAAAGAACTTAGAAATTTATTCTTTTGGTTTGAAAAAAATTAACTTCAAGGAAG